TTTTTAATTATTTAATTCCTCCATTTTCTCAATTTCAAATAAATTCCCCCAATCCAAAATCAAGAGTATTGTTTTTTCGTAAGCAGACATTCTTATCACAAATAAATAATAAGGAATATATAATAATATTGCTTAAAAAAAACAATATAAATGTCGAATATATATCATATAATTCGAATAAGTGATAATGGCTGGTGTAAATCTTCAGATTATTCTATGGTTTTAAAAAGTTAAAAAAGTTTTTTTTATTTTTTGGATTCTATATTACTTAGATTCTCTTTTATTATTAGGCAACATAACACTTTTACATAATAAAATAAGGGGGCTTGCTTTGACTCATATTTTTTTTTGTACTTTTTCATATAGATACCCAGTCGGTATAAATTGCGCAGTCACAGATAGCATTGATCAAACAATTTTCTTATTATTATCTCAAATGCATAAATAAAGAAGATCAAGATTCCAATGTACATCATGCAATTGTATATATGAAATTTTGTAGGGGCATAAATTTTATTTTAGACCTTAATATAGATCATGTTTAAGCCTAATAAATTGTTATCTTTCAATTACGTTAGATGTAATAAATTTTTTTGTGATTATTCACCTCTTTTGTATATTACCACATATTTAAACTATAGCCATTTTTTTGGCGTAAAAAATACCCCATTTTTTAGGCGTTCATGACCCTTTTTTAACACTTCATAAAACGTTTCTGTATTTCTCCTAGTCCTGGCTTTCCATGATAAGATAATTTTCACCACCTTTACAAGTTTAGAAAATCCTTCTACGGTCCTTGGTACCTCAATGTCTTGTAAATCAACTGTTATAATAGTGTTTTCAAATAAATATTTAGATGCAGAGATTGTGAGTTGAAATCCATTGGATTGTAAGCTATACATTTCTATATCACTAATTTTAAGTTTTGCAGTACAGTCAAACCTCGTTATAACGGATTTTTGTTATACCAGACAAAACTTTATTTCTATTTTTTTTTATTAAATAAAAAATTTTGTTATAACGGATTTATATAATAAACCTTGTTATTCCGTATAACGGACATTTATTGAAAATTTTTATATATATTACTAGTCGCGTTATACCGGATTTTTTGATGAGCACAGATC